AAGAAAAAAAAAATGAATAAATGCATGCAGGCATGCATGAATAAATAAATAAAATTCCTCTTTGAATCTTTAAAATGACTTAATAAAAGCTTCTTGAAACACTTTTTTGTGTCATTATCTACATTGGCACCATCTAGATTAACCCAGTTTGTCGTGACCTGCTGAACTCCAACATCAAATAAAGTCTGCAATATCCGGAGAACAAGCAGATATAGGATTGCTGATGTACATGGACTCAGGCCGTGGCACTAGAACACATCATAAGATTTCTTCTTACCTCTGAATGATGGTCAAGACAGCAACAATCAAAAGCTCTGTGGCTTTTCCCCCACTTCCACTGTGAATGAAAAGCCTTGAATTGTTCATTCATGAACACATTTAACAGGCACATTCATTACTGTTTACAAACTACAACCATGACTCTAATACTTTTGTGAAATATATCTAACATGTCTTGACATCCTCTCAGGGCTCTGTGTAACTTCAACTGTAGTGGGATAGAGTTTATTTTAAAAAATAAATGGTTCTGTACGCTGTGCCACTATTTCCTATCTGATAGCAATGAGAACAGAGTGTCTTTTCTTTCAAATAAGCGTTTTGTCAGTGTGCATAGGTTTATGAAAAATGTTCAAAATATACAGAAAACATTATTTTAGAGCTCTTGGTTCCCTTAGGATTTGGTATCTCATTGCTAATGCAAGTTTCTTACCCGGAATGGTATCAAACGATATAATACCTTTTGCAGAATTAGAGTGATGTCAATTATGTGCTTTGCCTGCAAGTCATACCCAACTGGCATGCATATATATACACTATATACATGCAGTGTACATATATATACACACTATATACATATAGTGTACATATACACACATATGTATATATGTACACAAATACAAATATAAATATTATATATCAATATTATATGTAAACATTATATATGTTACATGTGAATATCACACATAGGCACGTATACACACACACACACACACGCCCACACACACACACACTGCACACACACTGTTCCATTGTGCAGGTAGTACTTTTTTTTTTGAGACGGAGTTTTGCTCTGTTGCCAGGCTGGAGTGCAATGGCACAATCTGGGCTCACTGCAACCTCCGCCTCCCAGGTTCAAGCGATTCTCCTGCCTCAGCCTCCTGAGTAGCTGGGAATACAGGTGTGTGCCACCACACCCGGCTAATTTTTGTATTTTTAGTAGAGACGGGGTTTCACCGTATTGGTCAGTATGGTCGCAATCTCCTGACCTCGTGATCCACCCGCCTTTGCTTCCCAAAGTGCTGAGATTACAGGCGTGAGCCATCGTGCCAGGCTGCAGGTAGCACTTTTGTCTGGCCTCCAACACTGAGGACTACTACTTGCTGGATATGGCATACACTTCCTCTTTCTTTTCTTCCTTTCCAAATGCTACCCATTCTTCAAGGGCTCAGCCTTTGCCATAATGCCTTTGCTATCTCTAGGCCTTCTATAATTTTCTCAAACCTACTGACCAAAGTTTGCTACCAAAGTGAATAATTACAAATATAGCACCTACATACCACACACCCTGGTCAAATTAATGCTATGCCTTCCACGAAGTAAGTGCTCAAGAAATATTTGTTGAAAGTTAAATGCGTAAAATAGAACCATCCATTGCCTAGCACAGAGCCGTGTGTGTGTGTCTGTGTGTGTCTGTGTGAGTGTGTATGTGTATGTGTGTATTGTAAACAGTAAGTGAATGAATTGTTCTCCATGGATAGCTCATATCTATACCTGTACAATTCTGTTTATGTTGTTGCTTTATCACATAAATTATTCCTGTAATAGCCTTCTGTTCTTCTCAGCCTTTTAAAATCTTAAACCCAACATTCTAGCCCCTACTGAAACAATGCCAACCTCCTTCATGAAGCTGTAATTCACCATAGCTGAGATATCCCTCCTGTCATCACCACTTCTATAAAGTGTGATTGAAGCCATTTTGATAGTTAATTTACAATGCCTAATATTGTAATTGGTGTATATGCCTAATCGATTAACCCACGACAAATTCCTTGAGGGAAAAATCAATGTATTCCTCCCAGCCATAGGCGTAGGCTTTGAAAATAGGAAGGTCTTAGGAATTAACAATACATTGAATTTGTTGAATTAACTATCCTAGTCCACCTTGATCTGTTCTTTTTCAGGGCTTCTTGACCATTTGTCTTCATCACACAATCCAGATCTTAAAGCTATATAGTTTCTCATTAGTTTCTAGACATTCCTCATGTCCCAGCTAGACTGAACTACAAGACAGGGGATTGCCTACTTCAACCTTAGGTTACTGAGGTCAAAGGATATATTCAAGGATGGACTGATTGAAATAGTACAAGTACAGATATATGATGTAATTTATAACAGGCACTCCCTAGAAGAATACTTATATCCATCAGATCTTTAAGCATATTTCTTATTAGCAACATCATTCCAGCAGCAGCAATTTTGATACAATCAGTTGATAGGTCAACCATGTGAAGCCCTTTGAAAACGAGGCATTGTGGATCATTCCTGATTTTGGAATAAGAAATTCTCCTCAAGACTATGTAACTGGCTTTGAGGAGCAGATATAGAGCTTCATATTAAGGATGAGAGACAGAAAGAAAGCATTTATTACAGCACTTTAGGTAACACAATAATGGCACTGTTCAAATTTAGTTCTCATTAAATTTCCCACAGGGCAATTAGATTTAATTAAAAAAAAATCCTCTCAGGGCCAGTATATTTCTAATTGCTCATCTGCCCAAGCAAGAAAATCCTGCTCAAGTGCCACCTTTCCCTATGCATACAGATCTGTCATCTTCTCCCAGCTCCTGGGTGACTTTTCTCCAGGCGATACTTCCAAGATCACTTACCCATCAGTGCCACATCTTTCACTGACCAAACTGCATTCAATAGTATTATATTTAAAAAAAAAAAATTTTATCTATATTTTTAGTCTGCCTTATACAATAGGAGACCCAATAAAAATAAAATGATTTGGCTATAATCCAGACCTGGCAGAAAAACAAACACATGGCCCATAAATGTCATCTGAGATTGACACGTGTCATGTTATGCCTTAACTTTGGCTGAACCCATGAACTCATTAGATAAATGGCCAGAACTAGAATACACACACACACACACACACACACACACACACAGACGAGCATGTACACACATGCTCGAACGTGTTTACATATACCTTCTTATATAAACATCATACCGCAACCTTAATCCTCAGACAATATTAAGAAAGGATTCTGGAATATGCACATATTCCAAAGGAAAAAGAAATATTGGTTAGCTCAACAAGACAAAAAAAAAGGAGACAAAAATGTTCTTCTTTGTTAAATTATTTCCTATGTGTAAGTACTGGTAGGCTATGTGATTTGTGTTTAGTATAAACTATTGTATTTGCTTATATTCTACTCTCCCTAAACAAATAAATGAATCAAACAAAATTATTAAAAAGAAAAATGAAAAGCAAATATTAAAAGCAACTAATGATGTTTTCTCTTCACTATACTTAGGAAGTCAAAGGTTTACTAAAATGTTGAAGCAGCTGAAACAGATGCTCCTTTGCTCCTTGCAAACTTTCTAGTTCTAAAATGTAATTTAAGCTCTAATCTCTTAGCTGGGGATGCATTTTTAATTTTCTTTAAAGATTTCCTATGCCATACTTTTCATTTAACAGGTTTTTAAAAATTCCTCAAATCTTGCCCAGTGGAGTGAAAGTCACCTTAATGAAGAAACAAGAGATTAAGCCACCATGACTTTGGAACAGCAGAGGATCTCAGCTGCAATTCTTTGGCTCAGAACCAGGGTCTAAAACCAGCCATGGGAAAAGCTGTTGAAATGGAGCCTGCAATTCTCTCCATGTTTGACTTGCATAATGTTGACATTGTAATACCAGAGAGACCAAAAAATATTTCAAACAATTATGACTCTTTTCTATAAATATTTTTAAATTGCTTTAAGAGATAAAATAACATATTTTACTCTTCTCATTTTCTAAGTGACTCTGGTCACCCTCAGCAGCTCACTACTACGGATTTATTTTTGGCTAAAAGGTCAGGGAGGACATCTTAAAGCGCTAAGTCTGCTGTTAAACTGTGTTTTCCAACATGAGCTGAATGGTGAGAAAGGGAGTCAGACACTCTTAAAACAACAACTAAATGCAGTGCCATAGCAAGGGAGAAATACATTGTTTCTTTCTTCTGTAGATGCCCAAGCAAGGAAAAATATTAAGTACCCATTTAAAAAAAAAGTCTCCCACCCTTTAGAGAGCACAGTTTTCTTTCTGACAGAAAAATTCTTCTTCCCTTTCCGTTTCATTATTCTTCCTTGTTTTAGTTAGGTCTTCTATGAAACATAGTTTAAACATACTGAGACTTCTCTAGCAGGAGAGGGATATAAAAGAGGGAGAATTACAGAGATGGGGAAGGAAGTTCATCATTTCTGGGTATATCTTTCAATTATTTCAGGTGTCTCTTTCCTCAACTTAGCCAAATTGTAATCATCCAGAGTGAGAGGTGAAATTCATTGGAAACCTGCAATTTCCTGTCTCAGTGAATATAATTAACAAGCCTGAATTCTGAGCTCTGGGAATAGACCATGATATCCTTAGTCACAGATGAGCTGAGTAAACAGTAAGCTAATAACCCTTCAGTGTAATTTCAATATCCCTCCCAGAGACTGAGAACAAGAGACCTGGCTTGTCTTCAACATAAATGTCCTCAGCATGATTTGTAGCATTAATTTTTGATATGAAAACATCAGCTGCCAAAGCTGACTGACTACTGCATTCCTCCTAAACATCCACAGAAAAGTCCTACTAGTTTCTGATTTTAAAGCCAAGTCCAGTTATTTGCTGCTATGTAAAACTTGCATCTTTTAATTAAATTATCCAAAAACCTTGGATGTAACAAATACAGTTTGGTGTTATTTCAAAACACTGAGGGTGGAAATGGAAAAGGAGAACTTACTTTCACGTCCAGAAAAAGCATCACTTGATCCTGCCAGTGCCAAGGTCAACAGCAGCTGCCAGAGATCCATACCTGTAGGACCTGCAATCACAAAAAGTGTAAGGTAAAGCCCAGCAATTAAAAGCAGACCATTATCATAAAAATACTGTTTAAAGACTGGCTAAGTCATGAAAGAGTTGATAAGTCAGTTCCAGAAGGAATCCTAGTAAGTCTTTCATTGCTCCAGAGTCTCATCATACTGTCCTACTTTTCATGAACTCAAACAGCAGGTTGTAATAAATTCTACTTCCTGTGAGTGCTTGTCTCAGGAAATAACATGAACACTAGAGATGTTCACATTCTGGCTCAAAGCCATAGAAACACCTCACAGCAAATGACCCCCATGGACGGATAATAGGGCCAGTGAGGTTTACTTCAATTTTATCTGGAAATAGAAAACCTTATTAGTAGTATCACCATGCATGGGGCCTTGAGCTGGACAGGCCATAAAAGGAAAAACAAAACTATCACGCTAATAGCAACATTTCATAAATGTGTTTCCCAGTGAACAAAAGAGTTTAATTAACACTCAAAAGAAGGTGCTAATGAGCCATCCTAATGAGGTTTAACTAGAAGGGAAGCAGAAAGAAGGCAAGAAGCAAAAGAAAACAAAAACTCCCTAATAAAACTAAAAACCCACAAGTACACAGTGTGTCGTAGACAGTTTTTATTTTCATAAGGAATACGGATCTAAAAGATCCAGGAATGTGAACACCTCAGACACTAAGACGGATGCGTTTGTGGCTTTGCTAGCCATTTAGAAGCCCAGAGTGGCCACACCTGGAGCCCCAGAGTCTAACGGAGAGAGTTGATCAATACATCTGTCAGCACACACCTCAGTGACCATACAAAGGAAATAAGCTTTTCTAGAAAAAATATACCAGAGTGTCCACATCCCAGATCTTCTGAGGCAAGTTTGGGCTGGTTGAAAATGAACTCAGCACATTGCCTTTTGTAGAGCTGTTGCTGTGTCTGACAACTAATGCCAAGTACTTTAGAGCTAGCTGTAGCATTTCCTTAAAACTGCGCTATTTACAGTTTTTACTACACCATTTACACTATTTATTCAGGCATCTATCATTATACCAGGAGCTCCACCAGGACCTCTACTGGCTTCATTTTTGTTACCTTGCAATCCTGACCTAACGGAATAGCCCTTCATGGTATCCCTGATCAGGCTGAAATAATGAGCAAAGATGTTTGTTTTCATGGGCCTACAGATGTCGTCCTCTGGCAATGGCTGTGTAATTCTACATAAGGATAAAATTCTTGATGTTCTATAATTTCTAGACAGCAGAGGGCCTATCTTTTTTTTTTTGTTCCATATAATTTTATGTTCTTAAAAAATTCTTTACAAAAACATATTTCTATATAAACTGAATATCTTCCTACATCTGAATCCCCATGTGCACACCCACATGCATGAGGAATCCTCCTCCATACACTGCCTCATGGAGTCATTCACAGGATTTAGTGTAAACATGCAGATGAATATACTTTGTCAACGGTGAGATTACAAATAAATGTGAGTTGTGGTTTTTGCAACATCCATGTTTTTAATTTCTAACCGGGAAAGCCTTGAGCTGATGGTCTTGCATCATCCTTGTCTGCTTTGCAAATGAGAACCACTGAGCATCTCTCCCTCCCAATGTCCTTTGCTCCTAGGTGAACAGGTTATGTAATCAAAGTTGGAAACCTCCAGCAGAAGTATGTTAAAAGGCTAAAAAAAGTTATAGGCTAAACATGCCATCCCGTTGGTGACTATATATTTGCTTTAAATTTGATTCTTCTTTTTTTTTTTTTTTTTGTCTCACTCTGTTGCCCAGCCTGGAGGGCAGTGGCACAATCCCGGCTCACTGCAACTTCTGCCTCCTAGGTTTAAGCAATTCTCCTGCCTCAGCATCCCAAGTAGCTGGGACTATATGTGTGCATCGCCATGCCCAGCTAATTTTTGTATTTTGTAATTAAAGAACTGTAATTATCACAATTCCTTTATAAGCTGAACATATGTCTGTAGAATGTGCTCTATCTTACAAAACGAAACAAAAAACAAACAAGAATCCTCAACGCAAAATTAACCAGAAATCTGCACACTCCTACAGCAGAAAAGATTATTTAAAATTGTGATGCTCCCAAATAGGAGGTGAGTGCAGCTCACTGCTGCTTGGAACACTGCATAGGAACCTGACTCTAATGAGGTCCAGGGGCTAGGATGAGGATAAAGAAATGTGGATGGATTCAGCAGAAGCTAAATGCTTTATTAGAATCTAACTCTTCCCTTTCTCTTCCACTGATGTTGGCTCAGTGAGAATGACTCCAAAAGTAGCCCCCACTTCAGTCCTCTGGAGAACTCTCTCTAGTGCCCTCACATACGCCAGGCCATGATACGTGACATTCAATTGGATTCTAAGCTGCCCACATCATCTTTGCAGAGCCCCACATGGCAGCTTCTAGATGACAGAATCCTTCTTTATTAGGTTCTAGCTGAGATAAAATGTCCCTAGGAAGGTCAGAGTGCTGACACACACGATTACATTGGAACTTTAATGTAATCTACCATTACAATATAATGATATGCCAGATGTGAGGAAAAAAAAGTCCCTCTATTCCCCTCTGCCAAGCCCTTTTTGCCCAGGTGCCTAGACTTATTATGTGTACCTATTAACCCAGAGGTACAGGAGTTCACTCAAAACACCGTCATAAGAGATTTTACATATAATCTAAGTAGAGGACGGCATTGTTCAGAGGAATCCACTAAATTGGACCTTGGCCCACTGGGTTTTTTAAGCTTGCAATATTTTCCCAGGGAAAAATCCCTCTCTAAATTTCTTTTGATATTTACACATTCTTTGACTATAGTCTCATGGCAAGATTTTCAGCAGGAGGGAAAAAATGGGCTTCTATTCTTGCATAATGGAACTCACACCATTTCCACCCTCAAAGCCTGAGGGATTTTGCCTGCTCCCCTTCTTTCTCAAGAAAAAGCCAGTTCAAAACCAGTGTAATGCAGCTGGCATGAATTTTAAATCTGTAGACTGCCCAGCAGAGGAGGCCTCCAAATTATATAATTAGGCCCGTGATATACTAACTTATTTTTTGGCTATAAAACAGTTCATAAACACATGAGCAAAGATGAAGGTTAGAGATAATACTTTTTCCAACATGCTATAACCAACTCCAGGCAAAGAAAACAATATGTTTAATTCTCTTTAATTTATAATTAGCAAGTATTTGTGAAACTACTAGTTCCTGCTAGCACTGAGCAAGGCACTATGGAGATTAATGCAAAAGCAATCAAAATCATGGTTCTTCAAGAATTAGGCAGTACAAACACATGAAACTGTGTAAAGAAGGGGAACACCCAAAAGTAGAAGGTTAGACTAGGGAAAAATCAGAGAGATAGCTACATAGAGATGAGGTATCCCATTGAATTTAATGTGAAGACTAAACTATCTGGTGACAAGTTCCCATAACACCTTCATCGAAAATAATATTAAAAATTTATTGGCCGGACACGGTGGCTCACGCCTGTAATCCCAGCACTTTGGGAGATCAAGGTGGGCAGATCATGAGATCAAGAGACTGAGACCAACCTGGCCAACATGGTAAAACCCCGTCTCTACGAAAAATGCAAAAACTTAGCTGGGTGTGGTGACGCATGCCTGTAGTCTCAGCTACTCTGGAAGCTGAGGCAGGAGAATCACCTGAACCCAGGAAGTGGAGGTTGCAGTGAGCCAAGATCGTGCCACTATGCTCCAGCCTGCTGACAGAGCGACACTCCATCTCAAAAAAAAAAAAAAAAAGTTTATTAACCACACAGGGAAAAATGTGCTCATATCTGGTTTGTAATTTTGCAGAAACCAAACCAACCACGACCTAAAATCACTCACATCCTCTAATTTATATCAAGTATTTTTTTTTAAAGAGTGATTAAATCATCCTTAGAAGCATTCTTAAAAGTGTGATGTTAATATATTAACATATAGGAAGAGTAAATGCCAGCACTGATTAGTAAGAAATATTGTGAAATTGAATCGAGTTGATCTCTTTGGTGAAGCTTTTCTAAGAACTCAGCACAGAAAAAGGAAGAGCCTAACCAAAAAGGGCATTTAAAATTGCTGGTTCTCATTAGCACCAGGCATGCATTGAAACAGCTTGCTTTCAGAGTTCATCTCATTACCAACTTTTTATGGTGATGATAATTTGGAAAATGGTCAGATCCAAAATGCCTTAAGTGAATTTATTTCCTTCCTATGAGTGAGGAAGGAAAAGCTCACAGACAGCTTTGATATAACTCCTTTTGCTGAGATTTCTCTCCTCTTAGAGGTCCAGGGGGGAATGCATCCAAATTCAGATGTGCTGTAAGTATAAAATACACGCGGAATTGAAAGCTTGGTACAAGAAGAAAGGATGCAAAATATCTTGATAATGTTTACATTGACTAAATGTTGAAATCATATTTTTGACTGCTGAGTTAAATAAAATATATTATTAAAACAAATATCCTCCTTTTCTTATTTTTTTAAATGTGATTACAGTAATGCATCACTTAGTGACAGGGATACATTCTGAAAAATGCATCATTAGGCAATTCCATGGTTCTGCAAACAGCACAGAGTATATTTACACAAACTTAGAAGGTATATCCTACTACACACCTAGGGTATATGGGATAGCCTATTGCTTCTGGGCTATAGACCTGTACTCTACTGGACACCATAGGCAATTGTAACACAAGATTAAGTATTTATGTATCTAAACATGTTTAAACATAGAAAAGATATCATAAAAATATGATATTATAATTTTATGGAACCAGTCCATCATGGACTGAAAAGTTGTTATGCAGTGCATGACTGTAGTTGAAAATTTTAAATCACATATGCAGCTTGGACTGTATCTCTACTTGCAGCATTTGTATATACATTTTATTGTTTATATGTCTGCACTTGCATTCAAAAACATTAAATGATTACTGTGGGCATATTTGCTTTTGTAACAAAAATGAACAAATAAAATAATTTAAAAAAAATTCAAATGAC